TGTATAAAGCTCTGATGTCCTACAGACTTTACCAACCAGAATCAGGGTACACCTGAGTTGCAGTGCTGACTAGCCAACTTTTCGTGCTTAAAAAAAATGCATGATTAGTAGGTAGTCAGGTCCCCATATCAACACATTCTGTGTACATGTGCTATGAGGTGTTGTTTTTATGCATAGTCATGTGTGCTTTGCGCACTTGTATGCTTTCTTCCACCTCCGACGCATCACCCGTCTCCGCCAATACCTCTCCCCAAAAGCCGATGAAACCCTGGTCCATGCTTTAGTCACCTCTCGGCTGGACTACTCTAACGCCCTCCTCGACGGTCTCCCATCCACTACCATTCATTAAAATCCAAATCATTCAAAACTCTGCCGCCCGCATTCTCACCCGCACAAAACTCCGCTCCCTTATCACCCCAGTCCTTGCCAGACTGCACTCGCTGCTTATCCCAGAGAGGATCGATTTCAAGATTCTCACCCTTTTATTCAAGTCCCTGCACTCCTCTGCACCCCCCCTACCTCTCTGACCTCCTCTCTCCTCAAAACAGTTGCCTTCGTTCCTCTGGGACTGGCCTCCTCCTCGTCCCCCGAGTCCTTCGCTCCACCTTCGGCGGCCGTGCCTTCAGCCACTATGCCCCGAAGCTCTGGAACTCCCTTCCTTACTCCCTTCGCCTCGCCCCCTTTCTTCCTATTTTCAGTTCTCGGGGTTCTGTTCGACCCTGAGCTGTCCTTTCTCCCTCATATCCGCGCCACAACTGGCACCGCCTTCCATCACTTCCGGAATGTCGCCAGACTACAACACTACCTCACCCCTCACGCTGCTGAAACTCTGGTCCACGCCTTTATCACCTCAAGGCTGGACTATGGGAACTCTCTCCTCGCCGGCCTTCCCGGCACCTCCCTCCACAAGCTGCAGGTCATTCAGAACTCTGCAGCTCGTGTACTGTCCCGCACCAGGCTTCGGGACCACATCACTCCCACCCTCGCTCGCCTCCACTGGCTCCCCATCCCCCAGAGAATCGATTTCAAGATCCTCACCTACAAGGTCATTCACGGCCTTGCTCCCTCCTACCTCTCCGACCTACTATCCCCCTACCTACCTGCCCGTACCCTCTGTTCCTCTGGCTCCGGTCTGCTCCACATCCCCCGCCCCAACCGCCCTACCATCGGTGGCCGGGCCTTCAGCCTCTCAGCCCCGAGGCTCTGGAACGCTATCCCCCAGTGCCTTCGCCGCCTCCTCCCTTTCCTCCTTCAAGGCCGGTCTCAAGACCTTTCTCTTTGACCGTACCTTCAGCTCCCCTCTCGACTCTCTACCCCCTCCTCGCTCCCTCCTTTCCCTCCCCTCACCCTGACCATTTCCCCCTCTGCTCGGGTCCTGACCCGACTGTACAGTGCCTTGGGACGTCCTCCCGACGTGAAAGGCGCTCTATAAATGGAATCTTGTTGTTGTTGTTCTCTGTTGAAGACCTTTCTTTTCGACCGCGCCTTTGGTCACCTTCCTCCCCCTGGCTCGGGCCCAGGATCTGCTACTGTGAAGCGCTCTGAGATGCCATCTGGCGTGGAAGGTGCTATATAAATCCAAGTTGTTGTTGTTGGTGAGACCTTATGAAGGAAGAAACGTCAGTGGGCATTCAAGTCCCTGCACTCCTGATGCGTCTGATGCCCAGAGGTTGGTCATTTTTCAGACATCATTAACAACCCGGCGATGAGCTGATGGACCCAGATGACCACACTATCAGAAGATTTTTCCTGTAGTAATTACACACAGTACTGAATTCATGGGTGTTGCTCCAGTATATAACTAGAACTTAAAAATTGGAATGATCCTTCAATGCTTGTTGTAGTGATTCACAGAATCCCCCAAATAAAATCACTCACTCACTTCATGGCTGTTTGTGGGATGATGCTATACACAAATGGGCTGCCATGTTTGCCTACAAAATACACAGTCGGAATTTACAATGAATTCTGTGAAGTGCTTTGAGATGTCCTGATGTGAAAGACACTGCATCAAATGTAAGGATTATTATTATCAGTTATCTGGTGAATAAGCTGTACTTTTTCTTAGTTTATTGATTTATCCTACCTCTTTAAAAATGTTTTTGTTTGTTCAGTCTAGTGTCTGATACATGTGGAAACATCTGAGCTGGCTCTAAGGCAGGGGTGGGCAATTATTTTGGCTGGTGGGTCACTTCATGAGTTTTAGTAAGCTTCGCGGGACACACTCTTAATACAGATGCAAATGCTTAATAATAGCTCAAAATTAAGTCTTACACTTGTACATGCATAAAATAAAGTCTATATAATCGACATTCATTAAAATTAGGTTAAATAAAAACAACTCATTGAGCAGACATTTATTCACATATTGATGAGAATGTGAGAAGCTCACTCAATGGGAAGAATGAAAGTGCTGATGTGCGTTAACCAGACAATTGAAGTCAGGCATCGTCTCCATTGTTGCAATGCGGAGTACTGCTGTAAGGTGGTCAGCAGTCATCACAGATCTATGTTTTGATTTATTGAATTTCATCACAGAAAATGTCTCCTCACATCTGTATGTTGATGCAAACAGCACAAGCATCCTCCGGGCATGAGCCTTTATTTTTGAAAAGGTATATTCATTAAGAGAGGCGTAAAAACTGGGAAGTGGCATTGATTTGAATTGCTCCGCAAGCAATGGATCACATTGCAGGTCAATAAGCTCGAGGTTGGAGGTCAAATGGGGCTTTGTCAACATCAAATGAGAAAGATGAAGAGACCAAAGACAAGTCATTTTTGATCAAATTGAAATCCTGGAATTGGCGAGAAAATTCAGCATGTAAGTCAAGTAGTGACGAAGTATACTTTTTAAAGCTTTGATCGTAAACAGTAATCTGCTGCAAAGTTGGAAAGTGGGCAAACAGCCTGCTTCCTATCTGACACGATAAAATAAATAATTTTGTCATAAATGACTTGGCACTGCAATCCAAATTGTGCACAAAGGCCCCTTTCCATTGCAGTTTTAAATTCAGTTCATTCATGTGGCCCATGATATCAACGGTAAGTGCAAAATCAGAGAGCCAATTTGCATCATTCAGCTGTGGGAAATCCGAATCATTTTGCTTCACGCCCCAAAATAAATCAATCTCTGTTCTTGCCCTGCTTGTCAGCCTTCCCAACTCCTCCCTCCACAGGCTGCAGATAATCCAGAACTCTGCAGCCCGTGTCTTCTCCCGCACCAAACACTGTGACCCCATCTCCCCCATTCTTGCCTGAGTCCATTGGCTCCCTATCCTTCAGAGGATCCATTATCAAAATCCTGGTCCTTGCCTACAAAGTCCTCAATGGTCTCGCCCCACCCTATCTCTGTGACCGCCTAACCCCCTACCAACCCACCCGCTCCCTCCGCTCAGCCGGCTCCGACTTGTTCCACATCGCCCAACCCACCCACCCCACCATTGGCAGGAGAGCCTTCAGTCACTCTACCCCCAACCTCTGAAATTCCATCCCACAATCACTCTACCTTGCCCCCTCCTTAGTCCCGCATCAAAACCCTCCTCTTCGACCATGCCATTGGTCACCCCCTTTCCCCTCCCCTCACTTCTCCCCCCCCAAGCCCAGCTCGGGTCTGAAATGCTGTACACTTTCCAGCGCCTTGGGACGTGCTCCTCTACAAATGTAATCTTGCTGTTGTTGTTCTAGTTCCCACGCTCTTTTCAAGACCGTTCCTAAACTAAGCCATCTTACAGTCGTGTGATACAGAACATCTGTGTGCTCGGATTCCAATTCCTCAAGCAGAGTTACAAATTGCCTGAGGTTTAATCCTCTTGCTCGAATGTAGTTGACCACTTTCGTAACTGTGTCCATGACATTGCTTAGTTTTAGAACACTCTTACAGAGGACCTCTTGGTGAATAATGCAGTGTAGAAAAACAATATTCTGTCCTGGATTTGTTTCTTTGACTTGATCTTGAATTCTTTTCAGTAACCCAACATTTTTGCCTGTCAGATTTGGGCTTCCATCGGTGGTCACATTCACCAATTTTTTCCTCTGCACTGCTAATTTTAAGATACACTTATTTACTGCCTTCAAAAGGTCTTCTCCAGTTATCTTATCTTTGAATGACTACATTGATGCCAGTTCTTCTGCGAGTTCAAAATGTTTGGAAATACCTTGAATAAAAATTATCAACTGGGCTGCGTCTTTGATATCACAACTCTCATCGAGTGCCAGTGAAAAATGTGAAAAATTGCTTACTTTATTTTGTAACTGCAGATACAGGTTCTCAGAGATATCCTTGACACATCTCACAATAGTTCGCCTTGACAAGCTAATGTTCTCGAACTGTTTTTTTTTCTTGTCTGGGCATCGAGGCAGAGTCAACCATACATTCCTTTATAAATTCTCCTTCAGAGAATGGTTTGCAGTTCTTGGCGATTTTGTGTGCAATCACATAACTCACTCTTGTAATCTCATCCTGGGACGCAAATTGTTTTGTGACAATGCTTTGTTCTTTCTGCATTCGAACAACCATCTCAAGCGTTATATCAAATGCAAGGATTATTATTATCAGCTTTCTTTGCTTTTTCTTCAGCAGAAATGTTCTTATATTTGCAAGCATGTTTGCTCTCAAAATGGCAATTCAGGTTGTAGTCTTTGTGCACTGTCACGCTTTCTTTGCAAATTAAGCACACAGCTTTTCCACCCACACTGGTTAAAAAAAATTAGAAGTCTATTCTAGGTTAAATATTTCGGCCTTCAGCATCCACTTTCCGCTTCTTTGATGAACTCATTTCGAATTAACGTCCTCTTCAGTGAAAAATATTGTCGCGGTTGCCACACGTGTTTGAAAATTTGCTGATCCGTACATTTCTGGCGTCAGTCTGATTCAACACTTAAGGGAGCGTGCGCACAACTAAGCAGTGTGATTGGCTGATGTTCCCAGTCTGATTCAAATACAAAATTTGTGCGACTTTCTGGGACTGAACAAACTATAATTTTTTCTATTGCTAGACACAATGACGGGCTGGATAGAATCATTTGGTGGGCTGGATATGACTCGCGGGCCGTATTTTGCCCACCCCTGCTCTAAGACGACGTGCTTGGCAATGCTACTTTGGCATCGAGTGAACTTTGTGATGGTCTCGATAGTCTGGTTCTTGAGCCACACAGATTCTCAGTGCTCCATAGCACTGCTGAAAACAGCTCAGCTTAGCCAGCCTGGCTATCGGCAAGAATTGGAGGAGCAGCCAGTCACTGAGAACAAGGATTCTTCCCACAGTAATTTTTGTATTGCATTAACCCTGCAAGTCAAAGCCCTAACAGGTAGGGTGGTGCCGTTGAACAAGGTTGCCAGATAGTGCTCTCAACAGCATGTCATACAATTATAACGGGTTAAACTTCAGCAGTATCCCAAAGCATATTCCCCAAGAGTTGGCTCTTGCTAACCTTGAGTGTTCAAACCAGACAGAAGTCCACATTTGCATATTGTTTATGTATGGAAATATCTCTGGTCTGGAATCAATGTAGTCGAAACGCTCGTCCACGCCTTCATCACTTTTCCAATGCCCTCCTCACTGGTCTCCCCAGCTCCAATATTCACAAAATTCAATCAATCCAAAACTCACCCGCACAAACCTCCGTACCTCTATCACACTCAGGCTCCACTGGCTCCCAATCACCGAAAGGATCGATTTCAAGATCCTTTCACTCGTTTTCAAATCCCTTCATGTACTCACACCTCCCTACCTCTCTGATCTGCTTAATCCCCCACTCTCCCACCCACTGCCTCCCTCGGCTGCCTCTGGCCTTCTGGTTGTCCCTCCACCCCTCCGCTCCACCATCAGTGGAGGGAGGAAGAAATGAAACAAATGCTCATTTTTCTAATAGTTATGTGACCAGCTATAAAGCAAAACTATTTTTATTCCTGAACAAATAGTATAATTAGCCTGCAAAATATGGTCACTACACTTTACAGTAAATCCCGTGAAGCACTTTGAGATGTCTTCCCAATGAGAAAGGAGCTGTATCAAGTGCAAGGATTTTATTATTCTAATTCTTTCTTGTTTACCTTCCAGGTGCCATCTTTTCTTTACCCTGCCCGACCTCCACTCAGAAGGCCTTATGTCGGATTATTAATGTAACCAACAGAGAAGCCAATCACGTCCACAGCATCTCCAACACATTAAATGGAACACACACAGGATCAGAAAACAATTCAGTTTGTATATTGGTTTGTTCCTAGCAGTCATTTCCAGTCTCTTCATTGGATGCAGCTTTATATTTAAGAAGAAAGGCCTCTTGAGATTGTCAGAAAAAGGGATTACCAGAGCTGGTAAGGGTTCCTTCTATGTTCGAAATGACAGTGTGTAAGTTTAACGAGGTGTAATTGTTCAGGCATAATCTACCTGAAATATAGCTCTTTGAAAAAGAAATTAGTTGACAGTAAATCACTTGGATGTTAGTCAAGTGTTCCTCAGTATTTTTTTGGTGCACTGCAAGATGTAAAATGTGACCAATGTAATTAACTTTCCTTTTGAAGTGTTTGCATGCCTGATGCTCTGAAGCGTTGTGAAAAATAAAAACACTTTACTGAGTGCAATAGGTTCGTGACCATAAAGTGCAGTTTAGATTATTCACATGATTTTGCTGTGTTGCACTGAACATGCAAATCGAGCTGTATTTGCCTATATTGGTCATTAAGGCCTACAGAAGTCACAAAAACAAACTAGACCCACGGCAGTTCGGAACAAGACCTGACTTTTTGGCACTTAGTCCACTCCATGTACAGAGGAAAGTTTCCACAGTGAGAGGAGGATGAGAGGGGATGCTGAGGGCTAGGGGCACAGTCCTCATTCCTAGCATTTCCCAACCTCTCCACCTGCTCACACCACCACTATTTGGCCAACTTTGCCTATCTATGGTCATTTCCCCTTTCTCCCCTTTGCCTTGGTGTCAAACTCCGCCATTGTTCAACGCTCCGAGACCTTACCCAGCATGAAGGGTGCAAAATAAATGCAAGTTGTCAGTGTTGAAGAGCTTTCCATAACTGACACTTCATTCCATTGTTATGTAAGCCTTCTTGACCATGTGATAATGTGCTATATTAAATGCAAGGATTATTTATTGCCCTTTTGTAAATTCCTTCAATATTTTTTGTACTGAACTGTAATTTTACACCCAGCTAAAAGTAGATCCCACTTGATATTAACTAATCTGTCAGAAGTAAGTAGTAGACAAAGAAAATAACTTGAATTTATAATAATAATAATCCTTGCATTTGATACAGCACTTTTTACCTCTTCTCGACGTCTCAAAGAATAGACTGTAAAGTGAATTGACTGTATATTTGTGGGCAAAACGCAGTAGCCAATTGTGCACAGCAGTGTCCCTCAAACAGTCGTGGATTGAAAATGCCCAATTTATTATTGTTTTTGTTTTTGGAGGGATTAATATCAGGCGTGTGGAATAAGGAAACTTGCCCAAGGTTTCGCCCTGCCTGACTATTATACAACAATAGTCTGATGAATACAAATGCTATTGTTAAACTCTGGAATGCTCTGCCTCAATCCTTCCGCATTGCCCTGTTTTACCCGAATTCAAAATACACCAGAAAACCATCCTCTGCGACTGTGCTTTCTGTTTCATTCGCGCAATAATCACATCTAGGCTCGACTACGCCAACTCCCTCCTTGTCGGCCTTCCCAACTCTTCCCGCCACAAGCTGCAGATTATCCAGAACTCTGCAGCACATGTCCTCTCCCACACCAGGCTCCATGATCCCATCACCCTCACCCTCGCCCTGCTCTACTGGCTCACCATCCCCCAGAGGATAGAGTTCAAAATCCTCGTCCTCGCCTTCAAGGCTCTCCACGTCCTTGCCCCTCCCTACATTTGGGACCTGCTGACCCCATATCAACCTCTTTGTCTCTTTCATTCAGCAGGCTCTGGCCTGCTCCATGTACCCAGCCCACTCCACCATCGGCAGCTGGGCCTTTAACCTTTCTGCCCCCACCCTATGGAACTCCACCCCATCCTATTATCTTCTCAATTCAGCCAGTAATTTGCTCTGTAAAGGTTGGGTAGGACCCAGGAACAGAGGGAGACAGAGACAGTAAATTTCCTTTTTATAATTCTATTTATTCCTTTAACATGCATGTTAGTCATTAATATCCTTCAACTACATTTGCTATGTAATAGATAAAATACACGATCTGTCTCGTGTTGACATCTGTTTTGTAGGAGGTGAGGCAGCCAGCACCCATCTTGACTGTATGGTTATGCAATCACCTCTTCCTTGCTTACCTTGTTGTTTATTACTATATGCCTGTACAATTCATTGCTTTATTTGGAAATCATATGAAAAAGCTGAATACAAGTAGTCTATTCTTCAAATCACAAGTTACTGTTTTGGGCATCTGGTATGACTTCAATATCCCAACAGTGTCACTATTCAGTTCCTCATTTAATTTCAGACTAACAAGCAATTCATTTTGCATACAACATTAGATTTAACAACAGCATTTATAATTATCACAACACTGTTGTATAAATGCAAACTATTGCCTTTGTCTACTATTTACACATGAGTCATGACAGATCAGTCAATATCAAGTAACATATGCTTTTATTTAGGTGTAGCATTACAGATCAGTACAAAAAATGTATCATCATATGTTAAATTGCTCTTTTGGAGCACTTTCTAAGTACTTCCTGTATTTATCCTCCTTAGTTTTTTTTTCTTGGTCAACCAGGAGCCTGACACATGTAGAAACCTATCACCATGCTAAAGAGAATTCAAACTAAACTGAGATTTCCATGCATCCCACCTATACATGGAAATTTGTATTGCTATATAAAAAAAATATATAATTATATTGCTTGCGCCACAAAAGGGAAACATCAGAAACATAATCCAACAATGGAGATGGATTACTTGTGTTCTGTGCCACTACTGATTGCACATTGGGAGTAAACTCTTCACCAGTTTGCATTCTGTCCAGTTCAGCTGAATGCCAAGGATTTCAAGGTCAAAAACAGTGTAATGCTTTGTTTTCTGTAAATACAAACCTGTATGTTTTGTATAACTGAAGATCTGTAGCGCAACCTTGAGTATTTGTGAACCATATAACATGACTTCAGTAACTCAGCCAAACTCCCTTCATCGATTCCTAGTGAGCACAGGTGGTTTCTCTGTCTGGCTTTCTGCCAGGAAACACTATGCAAATTTGTATTGAAGCTATTAAAATGTTGATAATGTTTAGAAAAATATTTCTTTGACAATTAGTAAATATAATTCTTAAATACAGCTTTAATTTTGAAACAAAAACAGAAGTCGCTGGGAACACTCAGCAGGTCAGGCAGTATCTATGGAGAAAGGAAAGTGAGTCAACGTTTCGGTTCCACAACCCTTCATCAGAATTGAACTAATTTTGAAGCCGTTTTTCTGTCATTTTCTTTTAAAGGCTACAGGAAACCAGCTTCAAAGTTGAGACTGAATTCAATAATTTGCCACATTCTGGACCTCTATGTTAATAATAGATATCATATCCATCATATGAAACAATTAAATCATACACAGGGATACGGCACCGAAACAGGCTATTTGGCCCAAATAATCAGTGCTGGTATTATACTCCACACGAGCCTCCATTCTCCTATTCCCCGTTTCCTCATGTATGCATTAAGTTTCCTCTTAAATACATTGGTGTGTTTTTCTTCAACCACAGCTTCTGGAGGTTATTGGCCTTTGTTGCCCCACTGACATCAGCTCCAAATTGGCCCTGACGCTGAATCCATCAAATGAATTGACTTCTGTTTATCTTTACAGGTCAAGGAGGGTATGCATACCTCAAAGAGTGGCTGTGGTGGACAGGTTTGATCTTTAGTAAGTGATGTTTTTAATTAAAATAATAGTGACCAAAGGCAAGAATTAGTTAACATGAAGATCATTTTCTTTTAAAGTTCATTTAATTAAATTGAAACCTCCTTAGCACATCTCGGCCTTAGGCTTCGAGTTCTGCACATTCCGTTGTATGTCTTCACACATGTATTTATTGCTCAGATACCTACCTTACCTTTAAGTGCCTCCATGGTCTTGCTCCATTCCTTATCTTTGTGATTTCCTGCAATCCTACTCCACTGGCCACATCCTGTGCACAGGTACATTTGGCTTGTTTTAGGGCCCACTATATATTTATATGAATGCAATTTGTTATTGATCCACCCTGCCATTGACAGAGAAGCTTTCAGCTACTTTTCCAAAATTCTTCTGTTAACAAAAGCTATCTGAAAACCCTTTTTGACTGCACTTTGACCACCTTCCTCCTACCACCTCCATCTTCCTCCCAACTCAGGCTAACACTTTCTTTGTAAAGTGCTTTGAGATGTTCTTCCTACATGAAAGGTGCTGTGTAGGTGCAAATTGCTATCGTTGTTGAAGATTGTTAGTTTCATTTTAAAAACACACAGGTTGAGAAGACTAAAGCTATCGAAAACAGCTTTGATAGTTTGCATTGACTTCAGATACTGAGACTGAGGTTTTGGAGTCAGGACTGCAGTCCTAATTATACAAAGCTATTTTCGCCAACAGAAACTAATGGTAATGTTTTCATTTTCAGTGGGTGCTGGGGAAGCTGCTAACTTTGCTGCCTATGCATTTGCACCCGCCACACTTGTGACACCATTAGGTGCATTAAGTGTACTTATAAGGTATGACTTTTAATTGCATGTATTTTGAACATGTATTTTTTTTCAAAACTTTCAATTTCAATCCTTGTCCTTTTACATACTAGGAAAGCACTCTATTTACTTGGCATATAGGGAGCAATCAAACACTCAATTTTGATCTTTAAAGAATAAATTAGAACATAAATTTTTATTCAAACTCTCAATAGAATTCGATTCTTTGATTCAACAAGTTCACCAATTATTTAAAAAAAGTGTAATGCTGTGATGGCAGGAGTACAGCAGGGAGGGTATTCTGGAAAGGTCAAATGTCATTTTCAATGAATAATAATAATAATCATTGCATTTGATATAGCGCCTTTATATCATGTCTCAAAGGGCTTCACAGAATATACTGTAAAGTAAATTGACTATATATTTTGTGGGTGAAATGCAGCAGCCTGTTGGACACAGAAGTGTCCCACAAACAGTCATGGATTGAGTGACCAAATTTATTATTTTCATTTTTTTTTGGAGGGATTGTTACCCCACCCCCCACCCCCCAAAAGTGATCTACCAATCGACTAACAACCGGGTTCCTACTAACTGCTAGGTAAACCTGTGTCCTCTTGCTTGTTAACTCTGGATTTTTATTTGAATAATTTGCCGAAGATCTTTTCGATATAATAATTTCATTCTGCAAATACAGTATTTTCTGTGTGTGTAGTGCTAAGAAAATAACATGTTCAAGGCAAAAATTAGAGACTGGATTATTTTATCGATTTTTGTTCTACTGGCATTTAGATTGAATTGTAAATGGACGTTCCAAGGTGCTGGACAGTGTATAGCATTTCAGACCCGAGCTGGGGTCGGTAGTGGGGAAGGGAGAGGAAGGGAAGGGGGGTGGCCGATGGCATGGTCGAAGAGGAGGGTCTTGAGGCGGGACTTGAAGGAGGGGTCGAGACGGAATGACTGGGTGATGGTATTCCAGAGGTTGGGAGCAGAGTGGCTGAAGGCTCTCCCGCCAATGGTGGGGCGGGTGGGTCGGGGGACGTGGAGCAGGCCAGAGCCAGTTGAGCGGAGGGAATGGGCGGGTTAGTAGGGGGTTTAGAAATTTGCAGAGGTAGGGTGGGGTGAGGCCATGGAGGGCTTTGTATGTGAGTATCAGCATCTTGAACTGGATCCTCTGAAGGATAGGGAGCCAATGGAGTTGGGCGAGAATGGGGGAGATGGGGTCACGGAGTTTGGTGCGGGAGAGGTCACGGGATGCAGAGTTCTGGATTATCTGCAGCCTGTGGAGGGAGGAGTTGGGAAGGCTGACAAGCAGGATGTTTGCATAGTCAAATCTGGAGGTGATGAAGGCATGAACAAGAGTTTCAGTGGCCTGAGGGGTGAGGTATTGGCGGAGTCGGACGATGTTACGGAGGTGAGGGAAGGCAGAGCAGGTTATGGTTTGAATGTGGGGGAGAAAAGACAGTTGACGGTCGAACAAGACACCCAGGTTCCTGACTGGTTTGGTGAGTTGTAGTGTGCAACCATGGAGGCTGATGCTGCCAGAGCCTGAGGTGCTGAGGCACTGGCACAAGCCAATCAGGAGGGCCTCAGTCTTGTTCACATTCAACTGTAGGAAATTTGCCCTCATCCAGGATTTGATGTCCGACAGACAGTCTGTCAGGACAGCAGTGGTCCTGGAGTTGAAGGTGGAGGCAGAACGATAGAGTTGGGTGTCATCCGCATACATGTGGAAGTTGACCCCATGTCTGTGGATGATGTCACCAAGGGGAAGCATATAGATATTAAAGAGGAGAGGGCCAAGGACAGAGCCCTGGGGGACGCCAGATGTGACAGTGCGGGGGCTGGAGGAGAAACCGTTAGAGGCAACGAAGTGGAGATTGTGAGAGATAGGAATCGAACCAGGCAAGGGAAGGTCCACGAAGATTGAGTAAAGCGGAGAGGCAGTGTATGAGGATGGAGTGGTCGACAGGATAGGATTGTACTGGCATTTTTTGGGGGTTAGTCGGATGTCTGATAAAATGCGGAAACCCATCACCATCTTTAAGAGTATCCAAACTAAACTGAGAATTCCAAGCATCCCACCTACACATGGAAATTCCAGCGATAGATTGTTGGAATAGAATGCACACTCTTTCTGGAGGGTTGCATCCTGCTTTACCTAATTCCAGAAAGTATTAGGCACAGGTCAGCAAGAGGAGTAGGAATTACATGAGAACATTACAGAAGCTCTGTTGAAGTTATTGTTTTATACGCTGGAGAGCCACAAAGCTCCATCAGGAGCTTTGCTCTGCACCTAAGCCCTTGCACCTGTAGCTAACATTTGGGTGTTGCCCAAGTGCTCTGAAAAGCTACCCTGCGTGGAGGATGCTATATAAGTGCAAGTTGTTGTTGTTACTGTTGCCAACCAAAGATTTTGTTTGTGGAGTTTTCCATTCCCTGTCATTGATATCCTAAAATTACTGAGCATAAATATTCACTCAAAATATAGATTTTTGTATAGAGTTTTAAAAAAGTGCACCTTCAAAGGATGCATCTTATTGAAATGCAGTGCTAACTCTTCCTTTGTACATCACAACCAGTGCAGTGCTTTCATCATATATCTTAAATGAGCGACTTAATATTCATGGAAAACTGGGCTGTATGCTGAGCATCGTGGGTTCAACAGCAATGGTAATCCACGCTCCACAAGAGGAAGAAGTCCAATCCTTGCAGGATATGGAAGAAAAGCTCAAAGATACCGGTATGTTCCCTTTTATTGTTTATTTTATTTTTTTAAAGAACAGAAAGTGCAGAATTCTGAAAGGAGATCTCATTTTAGCAAGATTTGCAGAAGGATTTGTGAATGTGAGGTAGGAACAGACGAGGCACATGGCATGCTGGGCTATATTGGTAATGAGTTGGGCTCAGATTCTCAGAAGTCCGACTGGAGCTCTATAGCTCTGGCCTCCTGCTTGTTCCTCATCCCCTCTGCTCCACCATCGCTGTCTATGGTTTCAGCCACTGAGCCCCAAAGCTTTGGAACTCTTTCCCTCAACTGCTCCGCCCTGCCCCCTCCTTCCCCTCTTTTAGATCATGACTCAAGATCTTACTCTTTAACCGTGCTTTCAGTCACCTTCTCTCCTCCCAGCTCGGCGTCAGGCTCTGCTACTGTTGAACGCTCCAAGACACTGCTCCGTGTGACACCAGACCAGAGCACTGTATATTTTAAAAGGATTACGAAAATAAACTCAGAGGCCAGAACACTGGGCTAATTTTTTTTTGAAAAACAGCTTGATGGTATGATAGGAGGACAGTAGGGTAGGTAATCTGGAAGGATGAGATCAAATGGGTTGAAGGATATGAGATGGCTGACATTCTGTAACTCCACTCAGATGACAAACCTGAGATTGTGTCTGAACAGAGATTGAGGCTTGGCCTTGAAACATCGAGATTCTCTATTTCCAAATCTTTTTACGAGTCTCCCAAAGAGCACCCATGGACTCTTTCCAGAAAGCATTGCTTCTCTTTGCAGGAACAGCCATCAGAATAGTCCTGTGTTTTATTCCACTTTTGTAAAGTACCTTAATTTTAATTGATGGACTGCATTCTTGTCTTCATGTAATGCTAATTGGAAATATTCAGCCCAACTTCACAGTATGCTGGCTAGAAGTATTGTTTTTTGAAAATGATAATCTTATTTTATTGTATCTTCTCTTTCCTCTAGGATTCATCATATTTGCCAGTGTCACAGTTATGGTTATTGTGGTACTGATTTTCTTTGTGGCCCCCAAAATGGGACACAGCAATATCTTGGTCTATATTTCCATCTGCTCACTGCTTGGGGCCTTTACTGTATCCTCTGTGAAGGGACTAGATATTGTTATTAAAGAACTACTTGAAAAGAAACCGGTAGCAACCAACCCATTGACTTGGATTCTATTGTTCACCTTGGTGATTTCCACAAGCACTCAAATCAACTACCTAAACAAAGCACTTGACGTCTTCAACATCTCTATAGTGACCCCTGTTTACTATGTATTTTTCACTAGTGTGGTCATAACTTGCTCTGTAATATTTTTCAAAGAATGGAACAGCATGGACATTAAGGACACCATTGGGAATATCAGTGGGTTCTGTACCATAATCATTGGCATCTTTCTACTTCATGCTTTTATGGATGTTGAATTTACCTGGGAACAGTTAACATCTCTCATTAAGAAAGATAGAGCACAAATGAATGGATTTGGGCATGATGACCACCAAGTCTTACTGGAGAACATGGGCAGCCCATCAATTAATTATAATGATGAAGCAAATATATTCTTTAACTCTACCGGAGCAAATATTTTGGATGACGCCAATCTAAGTAAGTAACCACACACACTATGTATGGCTTTCAAAAAAACCTCCAGGACTTTAACCCTTTGAAGTCCGCTGAAGTATTTTTTGTGCAATATCCAAACCATTCTCCAGGCTGCATAACAAATGTACAATTATTTGTCTATTTTTGTTTGTACTGTTTTCAGAGACTTCTTTAGGGCCAAAGGTGATGTAAAAGCATCTAATTTATAAGATACACAGAAAGGATTTATAAATGGTGAATTATGTATGTGTCTCTATTCAGTCAGTGCTTCTTTTAGGATTTCCATGAAATCGGCATTTGACTAGCATTCCAGAGAGTTGGAATTGACTCGTCCAGGATTTGCTATTTACAAATCCTTTCATGCCTATCATTGAAATTACCCATTTCCAGTCCTCAAATGGTTGTGAGACAATTGTCTGGTGAAAAGACAACTGTTCAAAAACAAACTGGTCAGCAGAACACAGAGGGCTGTTTGACACCTCATCTGGTGATGCAATCCAAATGGTTGTACTGAAAAGTATGCTGCATAGTATTTTTTTAAAAAGCGGTATTGTTTCTTTAGAAATAAATGTATGTGTTGAAACTGTTACTTGTAAAGATCGAGAGAAGCATCGCAAACATAGCACCTGACTCCTTGGTGAATAATTCTTACATTTCATATCATTATGCATTGGTGATATTTATATAAATTAAGAAAGCACTGTAATCACTGACTGGGGTACTTAAAACAGTTGTAAACCTCTGCTTATACCAATCTTTGTAAAGCTTTCACATTAATATGTATAGTGATGTAATAGTACGTAACTGGTTAGCTATATAATGACTGTGTTGCCCTGGTTATTATGAAACAAATGTTAACCTTTGTGCTGTTAAATGTATGCATATAAAAGCTTTTTAAAAGTTTACAAATGAGTTTTCAGAAAATGTTTATACACTTATGTTATGCTGACTATTTTCTAGGAATATTTCACCAAATATTACTGGATACGTGAGCCTTTTTCTGTCTTTGTTTGTCTGTCTGTTTATAATGGTCACTATGTGCTATACCTGGAGTTGAGTAGCCTTTTGTCCATTTGTCAGCAGAAAAAAGTTTACTAAATGGGATTGTTCACCTTTTGCACTATTAAGAATTACTGGGCAACTTTCTCACCCCATGTAAATGGTTTGTGTAAGAAACAGAAGGTGGGCTTCAGAGTCTGGTTAAATGTGCACATTGCAGACACCGGGGAGAGAGTTTATCTTCAACCTGTGCTGTACGTGTCTTGTGAATGCATAAGTTGATTGTACTGGAAGTTTTGCATTCCCTAGCAGAAAAGTATATCAGTTTTTAGTTCTTTATAAGATTGATGTCCTGGAATGGACCAACAGCATAGACCACTCTTACTCATTCTGTATGAATACCATTATCATGTAGTTTCTATACTATTATTGATATTTAAATAAACTACAAATGAAACATATATACATTGGTATTGTATTGGTGGAAAACTGATTAAAGACCAAGAAAAAACTTTGACTCTGAATATTGACGTGGTTGAACATTTTGTCTTACAATTTAAGATAAATTTGCAGTGTTGTATAACATGTTCCTTTTTCTGGTATAAAACACAGACGTTTCTGGGAACATGCAGCATGTCAGGCAGCATCCATGGAGAGAGGAACATGATTTAACGTTTCAGGTCAATGATCTTTTGTCAGACAACCTTTTGGCTAGTTCTGGTCATTGACTTGAAACGTTAACTCATTTTCCTGCTGCGTGTTCCAGCGACTTCTGTGTTTATACCAGATTTCCAGCATCTGCAGTACTTTGCCTTATGTTCCTTTTTCTTATCATGCAAGGAATGGGTTATAAAATATTTCACTGCTAAGTACCATTCCAGGAAAACCACAGGGAATAACTGAAGATCGAGGCAAGAATCCAGTTTGATATCAGTTTCTATTCATTACAGTGAACGATAAAACCCCAGACAGTATCCTTAGATATAATTCAGTGTTGCTATGTTACAGTCTACAATTTGTACCTGAGTGTCATTATTGCATTCTCTTTACTCTTACCTGTATTTCAGTATTCATTGCCGTGATGAACAAACCAGATACATGCTGCAATACAAAAGATGTCATGCAACATGGAAGACAATTGCAGTTGAAATATGGGGGGAAAGCTTCTAATGAATTCAACCGAAAATTACTAGCAGCAGAAAAGAGAGTAATTTAAAATAATAATAGTCCTAGCATTTGATATAGGGCCTTATCACGTCGTTGAGACATCTCAAAGCCCTTCAAAGAATATGCTATAAAGTGGATTGACTATATTTGCGGGCAAAATGTGGTAGCCAGTGTCCCACACACAGGCATGGAGTGAGTGACCGATTCATTTGGGGAATTTATTGCCAAAAAAAGTTGCTTCTCTTTTCAAATAGTGCCATGGGATCTTTAACGTCCACCTCAACAGGCAGACGGGACCTCAGTTTAAACTCTCATCCAAAAGACAGCACCTCTGACAATGAAACAACCCTGCAGCACTGCATTGGAGTATTAAAATAGTTAGCAAACAAGTAAAGGGGGAGTCAGGAGAATTTTGTTTCATGTCGAGTAGTTAGGATAAGCTGAGAGGCTTTGTACCTGAGTGTCATTGATTCTACCTGATTCTACCTGAGTTGAGGTAGAATCCATATTAGCTTTCAAAAGAAAACAAAACAAATATTTTAAAAAAAGTAAAGTCTAGGGGTATGGGGAAAGGGCAGGTATATAGGACTGAAAAGATAGCTCTTCAAAGAGCTAGCACAGATAGTGGGCAGCATGGCCAGCTGCTGTGCCTTAAATTTCAATGGTTCTAAGAATCACAGGATTATTCCAAAGTGTTAATTGGAGAAATGTGAGAATTCAATCTCAGGCTGGAGAGGCACCTCTTCACACCCCCTCTTTATGCTCTCTATTTTACTCCATTTGACTTTCATAATTTGTTTTATATCCTATAGAGCAGAAACCTGAGCACATCTGACAACTGCACCTGACAACAATAACAACAAATTGCATTTGTATAGCGCCTTTCATGTCAGGACAGCATCCCAAGGTGCTGGACAATCAGGGATTTGGACAACAACAATTTGCATTTATATGGAGTAGCATCCCAGAGTGCGAGCATGGGGTTGGGATCAGGAGGGATGGAGGGCAGGGAGGGTAGCAGTAAAAGGGTGAGAGTCGAAGTGGAGGGCTTTGAGCCAAGCCTTGAAGGAAGCAAGGGAGGGATCTAGGCTAAGGGACTATGGGATGGAGTTGCATAGGTTAGGGGCAGAGAGGCTGACATTCACAATGCAAACTGTAGAAAGAGTGAACAGTACAAATTGTACCTTACCACCCAGGGCATCATATTCTTGCACTCCTTTATTTCACACTTGCATAAATGGACAATGCCAGGGATCACATCCGGAGGCAAATCATGTTCAGCCTTACTCAGCATTATATTCCTTAAACACAGGGGCTAAAATCTTTAGCAAAATGGGAGAGAGAACCCAATTGTCCAGCGCTTTGGGACATCCTCCCGACGTGAAAGGCACTCTATAAATGAAATCTTGTTGTTGTTGTTGAGAAGGATGATTTGCCATGTTGTAGCCAATTAAGATGTGGAATTACTACAGGATTGTACAGGAAGGGTGGCTGAGGGGTATGGGTGGGGATAGAGAGGGAGGGGAGATTACTTTGGGTGGAGGCTCACAGGGAGTATAAAATACTTGCATGGATTAGTTTGGCCAAATGATCTGCTTTGTTGCTGTAGATTCTAAATGATTCTATGTAATATTTATTTTATCAGTTTCGAGAGAGAATCAAGCAAAGCTCTGTGATAACAACAGTGAATGCTGCTGTTTTGCATTGAAATTTATTTAATGAGTTTGTGACACATGTAAGTTGACTCTCCTCTCCCCCTCCCCTCCACCCACTCGAGCTTTACAACTGGTCCACAAGCTGCTGTCTCGTTACCATCTTGTTACATTACTAAGAGCAGGCGTTTCATATAGTATATTAACATCCTCCATTTGTCTTCTCTTGGCAAAGATAAAAAAAGATAGGGCTTAGGAAGTAATCTTTCTTTTACAACGCAGACTGAAGTCAAAGAGATAGAGAAGCAGTCTGTCCCTTTGGAAAAAAAACAGTTATTTTAATTAAGTGCCATTTGGTAGACCACAAATACAAGAGCTCAGTGATTAGCCTGAGGTCCATCACCACTTTGATAATAACATCACATTTGACAAAACAACAAAAAGATAAAAGAGCAGCATCAGGTAAGATTGTAAATAGTGTACCAGAAAAAATGATTTGTCGTATCATTATTCCTCAAGAACAATGTACAGAAAATTCTATGAGTGTAACATTCGTTTTTTTTTTAAACATTTAGCCTTTGTGTGTATTTTTCTCTTTTTGATTGAAATGATGGTTAAAATGATTGCCTGAAGCCTGGGATAAGCATATTTTCTGTGCTGTTAAAGCTGCATCATCAGTTTGCCAGTAATGGAAGCCACAGCAGAGACCAACAGAGCAAATGAAAAACATCATTATATTTAAAGAATTTGAGTTGTGAATATTAAGTAAAGTACAATCTCTCAAATGGCAAGCATCAAGCAGAGGGAACATAAATATCTGTGGCTGTTGAATTAAACATTTTTTCTTGAATAGCAGAGGTTGTAGCTAAGGTTCATCTTTCAAATACAGTATGATGAAAAATGAGTCTACATACTGTGTGCTGCGGTTAGTGATAAATATATCAAATATGCTCTTATTTCCCCTTTACAGAAATATTGCAAACAGGATTGCAATCCTGTTTTACAGATGAACATTTTAAAACTGTCCAAAAATTTCCATGTTGAAACGTTTTATACTAATACAAGAGAAAAAATTTCTCTGCAATAGCAATTCAGTGGGAAAATAATTCATTATCATTATTTCATTAATATGCTGTTTAGGTACGCGAGTTTTAATATATTATTATCATCAATAGGCAATATCATGAAGAGAACGTTTTACGAGAGATGATTTTATTTTAAAAAACATTATCCATTTGCTTCTAAGCTTTTGCCTCAAATGCTTGTAGCAGAAATAATATCATTTTATGTTGCTTTTCCAAATTGAGAGATATGGGCTCAAAATGTACACTTTGTGTTAAATGTAATAGTGACATGTTCAAAGTGCCTGTGGTGACATGTTCTATGTGGAGCTGGCTGAGGGAAGTGAAATATCAGGCTATCAATACTATTTTATAAGCGATTGAAGCATGAATAAGGCACAAGCATGAGTAATCTGATAACACCTACCCTCTCATGGAACAGGGTTGGGGTGAACGGGTTGTCTTGTGCCTTTGCTACTTATAGTGAATTTGTATGGGCTATTTTGCTATATTCTGTGGGATAAACTTAGCAAACGTGAATTTTGCAATAGCAAATAGAGGAGAATAGCCCATACAAATTCACTATAAAGAAAGCTCTAATAAGTTCTGCTTTAATAGCTAAAGTGAGGGTTGTATCTGCACCATAGTGAAAACAATGAGAAGTCTTAATACTTAAAAAACTTCATTCATAGAATATAATTAGAAAGACAATTTCTTTAGGATTTGAAATACTGCACTTTATAATATTTGACATTTAACTACAGTTTTCCCCAATGTCATTGTTGATTTCCATATATAGCCATAAGAAAACATAAAGACTGTAGAAGAACCAGGTAATGAATCTCTCACACATCTATCTCTCTGCATGTTGATCCATGTTGAGGTGTATGTAGTGTTATCCCATCACATATCGCATCCACCAACCCCATAGTTTCAAAATATAAAGTTAGCAAATAGCTCAGGAGAATGTTTTTAGTAGAATGGTCATCAATATGTGGAATAAACTGCCATCACTGTCCGAGAAAGGAGGAAATATAAACGGTTTCAAGTAGGAACTATTAATGTGCCAAATGAATACGTGAGGAAGTTAACTCAATATTTTGAGTGAGCTAGGTGACAATGTGGTCTGCACCTGCTTGTAACTGTTACTATCTTGCTCTAATACAAGTTCTCCTTTATTTAAAGCAGTACAATATATACGTTCAGATTATTAGAATGCAAATTCCTCTTTAAGCAGATTAACCTGTAAAGCTAGTTGAACTGTATTTTTCTGTTTAACCTACAGCACGAGAGAGATCTGCATAAAATGAAAATTGAAGTAAAAAATATTTCTTTTACATCAGCCTTGGTTTCCTGGTCTCCTCCTCAGCGTAGCTGCCTCAGGAATTTCTACCAGATCATGTATAGACCTAACTGGAATAGGATTCTCTCTGGAATTTCGAGGCAGAACTTTCCCCGTGAGAAGCTGGTTCCTTTGAGCCACACCTCCATAACATTGAAGGCATTGACACCCAGCACACAGTATATTTTTTGTATGGCATGCCAGGGTACGCATCTTTCTAGAGATCAGTGCACCACCTTTCACACCATGGCCAAAGAGACTGTGGTCGTAGGTGGTAAGAAGCTTGACCTGGCCATGATTGTTTGGCTAACAAGTAGCACTCTTCTCATTATAATTGTCATCATTCTACTTTATGGTTGCTTCAAGATGTGGGTTAAAAGGTGCAAGAGGAATGCCAAGGGATACAATCTTAGCCATAGCACTACTGCCAATAGAGAAGCTAGCCAAGCCTGGCACGTGGGCAATGCTGAAACTGCCCTGGTTGAAGTTCAGTTTGAAGTGCCCACGCTGGCACTACTTGATCGATTTGCAGAATCCAAATCTGATGCTCTAATTGAAAAAGCTTTCAGCGGGACAAAGAATTTGCTGTCACAGAAAAGGGACAGTGATAAAAGGGCTATTTTACCACAGAGTGGTTATGAATAACAAAAGGGTCATCTTGCTTTTGGTGACGTGCATTCAATTACTAGTAAATGTTAAGAGATGTTATAGATTCATAATGTAATGTATGAACATACTACAAATTGTTCAGAGAATTGGTGCAAGTAAATGCGACTCTGACAGATGTTTAAATGTCAGATAAATATATCATATCTACAATATGTGTTCTATCTTTTGTTTTGCTGTAGCTTAATCATCGTAATCTGCTGTTATATCACAATAGGAATTGTACTTATTAGGTATTATGATGCATGAATATAAAGTCTGCAACATATTAAGTCAGATTATAGTAAATTTTGCTGCTTGTTTTAAAAAAGCACCATTTCTGCAGAGAGTTGGGTTGAGATTGTATAAAATGTTACCTTGGATTTAGTGACCAACAATGGCTGTGTTGTTCTTGCTTCACTAAAGATAACACCTTTTTGTTTCACTTATTTAATTGTTTTAGTGTTGAATGCAACATTGAAAGGAAGTGTTATCAAGCTATGAATGCATTTAAAATTTAGAATACAACATTTTATGCAATAACAGAGGAGTCATTAAGCTTATTGTTTTCAGACTGGTGAAGCTGGTGACTCCCTTACTGAAGCTAATCCTGTTCTCATGCTCTTTCTCCATTCCCCTCATCTCCACCCTCTAATATGACTTTTCCTTAAGTATTAGCCAATTCCCAATTAAATGCTGTTATAAATTCTGTGTAATTTGTGGTAAACCACACTGTAACAATTGTGTATAAAAAATGAATTTTCTAACCTCAGTTAATTTATTTTTGGTCAGCCGGGTGTCTTACATGTTCGGAAACCCATCACCGTGCTTAAGAGTATCCAAACCAAGCTGAAATTTCCATGCATCCCACCTACACATGGAAATCCCAGAGATAGATTATTGGCATGGAATTCTCACTCTCTCCCTGGAGGGACTCATCCTGCTTACCTAATTTCAAACAATATTAGGCACTAGTTGGCAAGAACAAAGGCCCAAAGTGTGCATGCTGCAGACAGGACCTTGGTTTAACATCTCATTGGAAGGACAACAAAATTACATTTATAGAGCGCCTTTCACATCGGGAAGACGTCCCAAGGCGCTGGACAGTCAGGGGTCAGGACTGGAGCATGGGGGAGGGGTGGGGTAGGGGTGATAGAAGGCAGAGAGGTGGGAGGGCGACTGAAGGCACGATCGAAGAGGAGGGTCTTGAGACCGGCCTTGAAGGAGGCAAGGGAGGAAGCGAGGTAAAGGGACTGTGGGATGGAGTTCCAGAGTGTGGGGGCAGAGAGGCTGAAAACTCGGCCACCGATGGTAGGGCTGGTCGGGTGGGAGACATGGAGCAGGCTGGAGCCCACTGAACGGAGGGAGCGGGCAGGTTGGTAGGGAGTCAGCAGGTCAGAGAGGTAGGAGGGAGCAAGGCCATGAATGGCCTTAAAGCTGAGAAAGAGGATCTTGAATTCGATCTTCTGAGGGATGGGGAACCAGTGGAGTCGGACGAGGGTGGGAGTGATGGGGTCACGGAGCCTGGTGCGTGAGAGTACACGAGCTGCAGAGTTTTGGATGATCTGCAGCTTGTGAAGGGAAGAGTTGGGAAGGCCGATGAGGAGGGAGTTTCCATAATCGAACCTTGATGTGACAAATGCGTGGGTGAGGGTTTCGGCAGCCTGAGGGGTGAGGCAGTAGCGGAGTCTGGCAATGTTGCAGAGGTGGTGGTAGGCAGTGCTGGTCACGGCGCGGATATGGGGGAGAAAGGTCAGTTCAGGGTCAAATAAGAAACCCAGGTTCCTGACTGGCTTAGTGAGGTTGAGTGTGCAGCCGTGGAGGCTGATGCTGCCAGTGTCCAAGGTGCGAAGGCGCTGGTGTGAGCCAATCAGGAGGGCCTCGGTCTTGCTGACGTTGAGTTGGAGAAAGTTGTCCCTCATCCAGGACTTGATGTCCGACAGGCAGTCGGTCAGGACAGCAGTGGTCCTGGAGTTGAGGGTGGAGGCAGAGAGATAGAGTTAGGTGTCATCCGCATACATGTGGAAATTTACCCCATGTCTACAGATGACATCACCAAGCGGGAGCATGTAGAGGGTGAAGAGGAGGGGACCGAGGACAGAGCCCCGAGGAACACCGCACAAGATTGTGCGGGGGCTGGAGGAGAAGCTGTTTACTGAGACAAAGTGGAGGCGGTGTGAAAGGTAGGACCTGAACCAGTCAAGGACAGAACCTTGGAGGTTGAGGTGGGAGGAGAGGCGGTGGAGGAGGATTGAATGGTGGGCAGCATGGAAACCTGATTGGAGGGGCTGATGGAGGGAGTGAGAGGAGAGGAAAGAGCGAAGCTGGGAGGCAACGGTTCTCTCAAGGACCTTAGACAGAAAAGGGAGGTTGGAGATGGGACGGTAGCTGGATAGCTGTGATGGGTCAAGGGAAGGTTTCATCAAGGTGGGGGTGATAGTGGTTGTTCTTCCGACAATGCAGCACTCTCCCAGACCACAACAATCTTTTATGAAACACCACTTTTGAAAAGGAAATGATTCACCAATGAAGAAATAAATATTATCTTTTGATCCATAAAATAAATAAGTTTCTTGTATCAACACTGGACAACTTTTTAAAGTGAGACATATGGAGCTGCATTGTAAAAATACAAAAGGAAAAAGTGGGTCTAAAATCACAACAAGCATCCAGGACATTGTCATTTGTATTCATTGGGTATAGACAAGAGAAAAACAACTTCATCCAAACGTCAAGTCACTTGTATTATTATTCCACATTGGATTTCTAAGAGTTCCAAGTAGATTGATTTATCTGATGACTCAAACCACTCTGAACATATTATCGCCCATCAGTTGTGCTTTGTTTCTGACCACCATGTGGAGCTAGCTGGTAAAGTAAATATACTCTGAACTGCAGAGGTGGAAATGACACCTCCGACAATGCAGCACTCTCTCAGATTACAATAATCTTTTATGAAGCACCACTTAGAAGCATCACATTATGGTTACAGCACTCGCCTCGCAAGCGAGAGGACCCAGGTCGATTCCCGGGCAGGGCAAAAGTTTCCTTACTTTGGACGCCTCTGTTGATCTAGCAGTAAGTAGGAACCAGGTTTCTACTGGATTGGCAGATCGCTTTTTGGGGGTAATAATCTCTTAAAAAATAAATAAAATAATAATTTGGTAACTGTTTGTGGGTCACTGTTGTGCGCAGTTGGCTGTCGCATTTTGTCCACAAAATATACAGTCAATTCACTTTACACCATATTCTGTGAAGCGCTTTGAGACGTCTCAATGACATGATAAGGCGCTATATCAAAAGCAAGGATTATTATTATGTTTCCATCTACATTTACAAACAGAAAAACTGGAGGGAATTAACTCTCACAGATAGAAACTAAATGAATGAAATATAACAACAACAAAATTATATTTGTACAGCGCCTTTCACATCGGGAGGATGTCCCAAGGCTGAAGGATGTAAATTATTTATTAAAATCAATATGCTAAGTTAGTCATGGTAATGGCCAGTGAGTGGCAGCACAAACCTGTGCACCACAAGTGAAAGGACAGGAAGTTTGCTATACTGAATCTATACTGATTCCCCCACTAGTGGAAATAGCTTCTCCCTATTAACCTTGTCAAATCATAATGTTGTACACCTCTAACAAGTCCTCTCTCAACCTTCTCTGTTCCAATGAAACAGACTCAACTTTTCCAATTCTCTCATCACAACAGTAACCCCTCATCCCTGGTATCATTCTTGTATATCTTCTCTGCACCTCCTCCAAGGCTTTAACGTTCTTCCTGAAGTGAGGTGAGGTGACCAAAACGTAATGCAGTACTCCAGTTGGAGCCTAACCAATGATTTGTACAAACTGAGTATTAGTACTGCACTTTTTTACTCTGTGGAGTCCTGTAGCTTAGTGTTAGAGGACTCGCCTCGCAAGCGAGAGGAGCTGGGTTTGATTCCCGGGAAAACTTTAGGCAAGTTTCCTTACTCCACACTCTTCTGTTAACCTAGCAGTAAGTAGGAACCCAGTTGCTAGGGGATTGACGGCTCGCTTTTCCGGAGATAATAATCCCTCCAAAAAAATGAATAAAAATAATACATTTGATCACTCAATCCACGACTGTTTGTGGGACACTGCTGTGCACAATTGGCTGCCGTGTTTCTCTCACAAAATATATAGTCAATTCACTTCACAGTATATTCTGTGAAGCACTTTGAGACCTGTCAAAGACGTGATAAGGCGCTATATCAAATGAAAGGATTATGATTATTATTATTATTTTTATGTCCCTGTGTATAAAACACAGATTACCATTAGCGTTTTTCACAGTGCTTTCCACTTGCATTGCCACTTTCAAGGACGTATAATAATATATCACCAAGAAGTAGTTATTCATAGGTTTTTTTATGTCCTGTTCATCTTTTTCAACCGCCTTTCAGTCCTTAAAGTTTTTACTATCTTCCCTGACTACCCTCATTTTGTTATAATATTGAAAGAATTGTTTTGCATTATGTTTTACATTTGCTGCCATGTTCCTTCCCAATACTCTCTTGTATGGTGTATACTCATCCCAATGGATACCCTTTCCTTTATCCTTACAAGCTTTGTAAATCTTCAGTAGTATTCTGTTACTGGGAAGCACCCCTTTTAGTTATGTCACTGGGAGGCCCAGAAGACCAAAATTCTATCAAGTGCTACCCTACAAAACTATTTTGACTTAAATGCTAAGATAGAACAGAATTGTGAAAAATACTTAAATTCAATCTCAATTTGAAAGTTGTGTTTTTTTACTAAACTGAACCACAAACAGAAGTTGGATTCTTGTCCACCTATTAGATGTGGAATGCAGAACACAGAGAGACTGTTTAGCAAAATAAAAGAACTCGACTTGGTGATCACCCGGGGCCTCAGTGTCTCGGATGTCACTATCACCGACAAGGCCATCTCCGACCACCACTTCATCTCCTTCACCACCTCCACCCCCCTCCCCAGCTCCACCAGACCCACCACCATCTTCTACCGCCCCTGGAAGAAGTTACCCCCACAATCCCTAACCGCTGCCTTGGAGTCCTCTGAACTCCTCTCCCTCTGGCCTTCAACCCTCACTGACCCCTCTTCTCCTCTCACCC